ATATAAACAGAACAAAAAGTTAAGTCTTTATTTTGGTCTAAGTTTTATTTTTTATTCAACATTTGTTTAATTTTATTGATTTTTCTTTTAAACACATTTGATTTTTTTAACGATTCATACTTTTCATTTAAAAAGTTAATTCGAATAAATAATCGTTGTCGAATAAAAAGACGTAGAACATGATGGTATTGTTCATCAAATTTTAATGAAATTTGCTTAAATAATTTTGCTTTATCTCATTCGCAGGCATAGTTTTCTTAAACTCAAATTCTATGTCAAATAGTAGGTTTTTGAAGTCATTAGAAGGCGTCGAAAGACCCCCAAATGATAACCTTTCTAACCGTGATGGTGCGCAATAATTATGATCACATTTACGTTGATGTGAATAATTGCCCAATTCCGGATGCAAAAGCTTAAGCTTTTTACAATCCTATGTTTACAAGACTAATGAAGTTGCTAAGCGCAGATGCTGTTTGATTAGAGTAATAATGAATTAATGCTGTAGCTGTGGTATGCGATAAGAGCTGTGATGCTAACTTGACATTCTGCCTTCTAGCGCCTACACAAGTGATGTGATCTATTGTTAATTTAAAACAACTGCTAACTTCTGTGTTGCATTCGTTTATAAGTTTTTCTAAGTATATTTTGTTTATTGTAATGTCATTTATTGTAAATTCTGAATCTATCAACCAATTCCTAATTAATTTTAAAAGGTGAGGAGCATCGCAAAAAAATAAATCTTTTTTGTAGTTGTTGGATGTATTATATATGAGGATTCGTGTGTAATACCCAACTCTCTCCACAAACCAAGATTTGAGGGTCCACAATCGGACGCACATGCAATCACCTCAAAACCAATATCATGCAGTTTATTAATTAATGTTAATAACAAAGTACCACTCATTCTTTTATGAAAACCGGCAAAAATTGGCTGCTTCCAAGATCCAAACAGTCCCCTGGCGTTCACAACCTGCATTTGTGAATGCGGACCAATAATTTGATCATATTGCCTATCATACTCATACAGTTCTGCAACTTTCATTTCGTCAAATGTCAAAACAATAAGCCTTTCTTGATCACTGTATCCTCTTCCAGCCACAGACAGAAAAAGTAGCATGTGATGTAAAATACCCTGTCTCACATCAATTTTTGAAGCCCAACATTTTAGCGTTGATATACCTAACATAAATAAAATAAATTTATATCAATAAAATTATTGAATAAAAGTAAACAAGTTTGACATGCTACAGTGGATTTTAATTATTAATGGTTCTTTTGAAATATTTAACAATGATGTAGATGGATCAAGCTGTTCGCAGATATGTGAAACGTCGTCTTGGGATGCTCCCAAGTTTAAAGTTGGTATAGCTGCCTTCTTTAGAAGCCACCTACGTTTCAATTACAATAGTTCCACACGTAGGTCGCGTTCAAAATCTTCAGGACGAAAATGTAATGAACACACCCTTGTTGTTGTAACGTTAATTTCCTCTTTACATTTCATCAGCCATTGTTTACGAACGTCTTCCTTTTTGGGTATGTTAAAAAACGATATATTTAAACCAATAACTGTTGATACAACATAATTCGAACGACAATTTTTAATTGCACATGAAACGGGCATCTAAAATTCATCTAAATCATAGCTTATCTGTAAATAATTACCTTGGTATTGAAACTATTAAATAGTTTCGAATTAACACTAATTATAAATTTTCAACAATAAAAACCAGTAATAAACAAAAAAACAGAAATCGTATTACGGTGTATTACGGCTGGATCTGGTGACGTCACGATGAGGGCATCTAAGGGGGGGAATATTTTCGTACGTTGAAAAGGTTGAGTCTGGCCAACCTGTACAAATTCACAATGTCTTAGATTGACACTCGAAAACCTATCACAAAATATTTTTCTCAATTAGAAATTATTAACGTGATAGCTACAAATTTGTATATGATCTGAGTTGAATATTAAAGGCTTTGAAATCGGTAGAAACTTTCAGTTTTTTCACTTTTACTTTTCTTTTGAAAAATATGTAACATAATGAACTATAATTTTAAAGGATTACTTTCATGGAATCATACTATTTATAATAGATGTACCAAAACTTTTGCGTGAAACTGTACGCATGTTGGTATAGGACAACGCTGATTCAGGTACACGTAAATCAAGTGTTAACTGCATCATACTTTAAATATTAAATTGTTTTTGTAATTAAATACTGCTCAACAAAGATATAAAAAAATAATAAAAATAAATTGTATCGAAAAATGTTAAATAATTTAAATCATGCCATCTATTAATGGGAAACCAAACTATACTTGCCACCAGATGTCGCCTCCATCTTGTAACGTTTACGTCAAAACTTCCGTCAATTGTCATCGAATAAAAACAAAAAAAGAGGCAGATTTGTAATTCTGCATTTCGAAGATGATTAAGAATAAGATGTCGGCATGGATGAGGTAAGATCTTTTATAAAAAAATATAAAATGAACAGAAACTTAGATTATTTTATAATAGTAAATGTATTCTTAAAATGAGCATTTACTTACTTACTTACTACATTGATTATATCACTTACTTCATTTTATAAGTTTGTTTTTGTTATTTTTCGTGACTGCTACTTTGGGCTTAATCCTGTTTGCATCCCAAATAAATAAATTCATTTCCAGGGGCAGTGATTTCTCCAACAAAATGGCGCGCCACCACATTATGCCCTTCCTGTTGGAGTTTATTTAAACCAATTATTTCCCAATCGATGGATTGGGAGAAGAGACTGGAATATCACCAGATTTACACCACTGGACCAAATACTTTGGATGAACAAAAAATCAGAATCCGAAAAGTTCAGCAAATAATTCTTGATACCTTAGGGAATTGTTAAGAAGAATTTAAAAATTGTTTAGGAGCTGCCCAAGGTATGCTATTTCAACATTTAGCTGACTTTTAATTTTTTATTTATTCATTTTGATAAAATTTTAATGAAATTGTATAATCCCTAATGCTAATTTTTCTGGTGGTTCCTGTGATATCAAGGCTATGTCACTCTTTCTCAGCTTGAATTGTTGTTAATATATTCATAAATTTTGTGCCCTTCTAAATCTATCATTCTGATAGATAAAAAACACATTGAGTGAGGACATTTACTTCTGATTAGTTATAATAATACAATTCTATAGGTATAAAACAGTGTTGTCCACTAATTTTTGATCAAAATCGACTTTTTATATGAATGTCTTGCCAAGATCGACCAAAGGGTTTAAAGTAACCTTCCTTTTTTTTTTGCTCTGAGGCCCAGATATAGATATTTCAGATTCATAATTTTTTTGGCAATCGACGTTATGGTCACCACTGATTTAGAGCTTATAAATAAAAAATGGTAATAATTGAGTTCAATCTTTTTATGGATCTAGTCTTTATGGTCCATTACTAAGGTTTTATGTATAAAAAGTATTTCCCCATCGCTTTTAGTTTTTGAGTTATAATTGAGTTAATTTTCGAAAATCAACAATTTTGATGTTTAATCGATTTCGAGCTTATAATTAAAAAATAGTAATAATTGGGTTCAATCTTGTTATGGATTTAGTCTTTATGGCCCATTAGTAAGGTTTTATATATAAAAAGTATTTCCAAATCGCTTTTAGTTTTTATCGCTTTATAATTGAGTTAATTATCGAAAATCAACAATTTTGATGTTTAATCGATTTAGAGCTTATAAGGTACAAGAGGGTAATAAGGGCCACCTAAGAATTTTTTTTAATTTTTTTCGAATGAAACTCTTAAATGAAAATAAAATATATTCGCTTATCAAACTATTTATAAAGTACAAAATGTAACTACAAAAACGTCGGTTGTATACATAGCAACTCTGTAAAAAAATATTATGTATTCAACATGTGTGGGTTATTCTCCGGCTCGGCTGAAAATAAAGCCCATCATTAACATTACTACAGTTTTTTTGATTTAAATAAGTCTTTTGTAACTTCTTGAGCCCTATAGTTTAAGGCGTTTTTTCTCGGCCTAGTACACTTTTTTTCTGGTAATTCAGGCGTTTTCAGTATATTACTGAACGCATTTTTTTCATTTGATTTTGAAGGTCCAGGCAGATCTTCGGCTCTCTTTCGAGTTATGTTGCCCATCAAACGTGTACGAAGTACAGCCAACGGTATGTTCGCGTCATCGTCAGAACTGGACGACTCCTGGTTGCCGACAGCAGGACTAGTTAACAAAGAAGTCGATGAAGTTTGATTTTCAACAGGCCTACATACCGAAGACGGTGCATACGCCACGTCTGGAATAGCTCGAGGGTTGAAAGGGTATATGCCAGTAACTCTAAAGCCACTGGTAATGTTGGCTACGGACATACACTTTTCCCATACCGGTGTAAAGATATGTGAAAATCTGTCTTTAGTCAGCTTACGATCTGGTGTTTGATCCCAATACGTCATCAACTCCTCGTCCCAGAAATGTTCAAAGGACCTAAACACTGCTCGATCCAGCGGCTGCAATTCATGGGTGGTATTGCTAGGTAAACAAAACAGAGGAATCTCCAATTCTTCAGCCTTCTGTGCAACCATCATATCAAGATTCGACGTAGCACCATCAAAAATCAGAAGAACTTTGCCTGTGGGTTTGTACTTTGCAAAATGTTCTAGCCATTTACAAAACAGTTTGGTAGTCATACTACCTTTTGGGCTCATTAACACAGCTGACCCAGCAGGAAGACCATCTTGAAAAGTAGGTTTCTGACGTATGCCCTTAAAAAGAATCATGGGTGGTATTGCGTTACCCAAAGCGTTAACGCATGCCACAACAGTTGAGTTTTCCGCATGTTCTTGGGCTACAAGATGAACTCTTTTGGTTCTTTTTAGGGCCAACACGGATTGCTGATGATGCAATGTTAAGCGGCAGCCCTTTTCATCCATATTGAAAATTCGCTCAGGTGTATGTAACATTTTATTCTTTTCAAGAGCGAATCGTAATTTTCTGAAATAATCGTTAACAATAAAACGTTTTAATTTCTGAGCTCTTGCTGGATTCATACACTGTGCGCGACGCTTACTCAAACGTGAGTGACGTTTTAGGAAGGCGCTGAACCAATCCTTTCCAAGAATTTGGTTATTTTTCTTTTTTTTTAAAGTTAATTCCGTTTGCCTTAATGAAACTGTATACATTTCTGCGAAGTGATTTAGGTGTCAAGAGCAAACCAACTTCCGCCAGTCGGTTTATTCTGTTTTCTAGATCTTCCTCCTGTTGCTTTGATAAAATTGGTTTCCTTCCCAATGATTTTTCTGTAGATCCACTCTGCATATGAGCTCTTAACGTACGCCGCGGAATTCCCGAACGCCTTTCAACTTCCCTCTGGGAAAGTCCTTGTTGAAGGAGTTGAAGGGCTTCTTCCATCATTTCTGAGGTCCAGTTGGCTCGCATACCTTTACACGGTTTTCCCATCTAAGTATCAAAACACAGTTTCGGAATGTTAGCGTGTTGTAAAATAAGGCCTAACTGCCTAGAAATACGGCCCAGGGTTACTTTCTGTTAATAAGGCCCGGGCGTTATTTCCAGACAAGTAGCGTTAACCAGAAAAAATGTTTGCGCGGAAACCACACATAACCTAACATTAGCAATATTAGCAATCATAAGTATATTTAATGCCCTTTCATTGCCACCAAGTGTAAAATATGTAATTACTTACGTTACAGGCTCACAAGTCGACACTCTCGACAATGACTTATAAAAACCAATAGCTTATTATTCTTCGCTATCACTACCACATGAACGGTTACCCTAACAAACGAAACTATAATCGTGACAACGATTACATATATTTGTGCTTCGTCTTGACTCGAATGCTGGCCTCGTTTATGTTTGTTGGCGCGATTTTCGAACATGGGCCTTATTACCCTCTTGTACCTTATATAAAAAATGGTAATAATTGGATTCAATCTTGTTATGAATTTAGTCTTTATGGCCCATTACTAAGGTTTTATGTATAAAAAGTATTTCCCCATCGCTTTTAGTTTTTGAGTTATAATTGAGTTAATTTTCGAAAATCAACAATTTTGATGTTTAATTGATTTAGAGCTTATAAATAAAAAATGGTAATAATTGGGTTCAATCTTGTTATGGATCTAGTCTTTATGGCCCATTACTAAGGTTTTATGTATAAAAAGTATTTCCCCATCGCTTTTAGTTTTTGAGTTACAATTGAGTTAATTTTCGAAAATCAACAATTTTAATGTTTAATCGATTTAGAGCTTATAAATAAAAAATGGTAATAATTGGGTTCAATCTTGTTATGGATCTAGTCTTTATCGCCCATTACTAAGGTTTTATGTATAAAAAGTTCTCCATAGCTTTTAGTTTTTGAGTTATGATTGAGTTAATTTTCGAAAATCAACAATTTTGATTTTTAATCAGTTTAGAGCTTATAAATAAAAAATAGTAATAATTGGGTTCAATCTTTTTATGGATCTAGTCTTTATGGTCCATTACTAAGGTTTTATGTATAAAAAGTATTTCTCCATCGCTTTTAGTTTTTGAGTTATGATTGAGTTAATTTTCGAAAATCAACAATTTTGACGTTTAATCGATTTAGAGCAGTAGTGTCCACTAATTTTTGATCAAAATCGACGTTTTATATGTCTTGCTAAGATCGACCGAAGGGTTTAAAGTAATCTTCCTTTTTTTTTGCTCTGAGGCCCAGATATTAGATATTTCAGATTCATGATTTTCTTGGCGATCGATGTTATGGACACCAGTGGTATAAAATGTGAGATATATTTTTATCTAATATATTTTTTTTTGTATTTTAGGTGAGGCCAACGCTCTAAAAGTATAGATAGTACCGATTTGTCTCAGTTGTGCACCAGTTAGTGGTGCACTGAAATTACAAACACCTTCAAGAAAGTTATTTTGATCAGCAATATAATGACACCAACTACATTCATGTAGTTTAACTTTTGAAGACAATTCCTCAATTTAGCAGGTAATAGTTTAATTTTTTTTGTGAAATTTCCATTCGAAATTCGGAATCGATTCCATTTCTGAGAATCGATTCCGATGCTTTAAAATTAAACTCAAAAAATAACTTTAAAAATTAAAATCAAGTCCAAGAATTGATAAATTATGAATACAAGTCGGCATCGGTATGAAATATAATGTAATCGAGATCATAATCAAGTCGAAATGGAAATCATATGATTCTGATTCTAGTCAGACTCTGATTCTGACTCGATACGTAGAATTGCGCACAAGAAAATTTAGAATCGATTCTACTCTCCTAGTTTTAAAAATGGAGTTTGGACTTGATTTTGCTGACATGTACCATCACTGGTTAATGTGTTACAATAATGATTCTGTATTATGACTTTCGCTAAATCGCAAAATTACATAATCTTGAAAAAATGTGTGCATGAAATAGTTTTTATCTGTTTAAAGAAAACTTTGTAAATTGAACAATGGATCCAGTGTTGCTAACTCCCTTATATCGAGTTCCTCTAGTTGGTACTGTAGATTCCGTCAAAAAATCGCTAAACTTTAGATTATCTAAAGTCACCCTTAGATGGCGCTGTACTTCAAAGTTTAAAATTCTGTATATTCATTTTAGTAACTTTAATTCATAGATAATTATTATATATTATTATATATATATATAATATTTAAAAGACTGGCAGGAATATGTTATAACATAGTACGTAATAATAAAAATAAAAACATTTATAATATCCTATAACCATAACAAAAAATACCTATTCTTTTACATACTACTATTATAAACAAAAATAAACGTTTTCCTATTTTTTTACAATAAAGTAAACAATAACACAAAATAATTAATTTATAAAATTAATCAAATAAATTTGGATCGAATTCCACTTCCGATTCTAGTTTGTCCCTTTTATGGTAACTCGAATTACTTTTTATTTGCTCTATTATTTCATTTGGTATGTCGTGATTACGACAACATAAATTTTTTCGTCTTAGGGCCGCATTCAGAGACGATTCTACATCATGTAGATTCTACAATTGTAGACCAAGAATCGGTTCGGACGAGCTCGGCATCTGGGCGATCGACGTCGTCTCGACTCACGCTAGGCGTATAGCAATTAATAGCAATGAATCTATCACACTTTAAAGAAAGCGTTCGTATGTTTCGTTCATTTTTCGAAATGAGAAAAAAATTATAATTAAAAAAAAAAGATTTTACTTTTAAAACCATATTTTTTATTATGTTATTAGTATTAACAGCAGAATATTTTAATTTTTTTATACTTTTTGTTTAAATTTAACACTCCATGGGTATTAGAATAATATGTAGAACACATATTTAATAAAACAGATAAGAAAGCGAAGATTCTATCCTTCACAATTTATTTATTTACATATTTGTTTTAATTCTGTATATCTTTCGATTGTGTTTGTGGTTTTGTTGTAATAAGTGTTCAGTATTAGCGTTATTTTTTCTATTTGTAGAGTAGGTACTTTGTTTTCATTATTATATTCGGTATATATATATATCTTTTTTAAGTTTAGTGTAATTTTAATTATTTTTGTATTTTCGTAGTGTAGCCTATTGTTATTTCTTTGTTTTATTTCTACTTTGTAAAGTAATTAATATTAATTTTTACTGTTTTGTATGTAGGTATTTTTCATATTGGATTTCTTTTATTTATTTTTAGGTGTTTACTATTACTTTTAATAATTTTTTGTTTTTGTAGTGCAGGTGCTATTTATATTTTTTGAGTTTTTTTTATTATTAAGACGACGATTTTAACGAGTTCATCGAACACATATACAGGGTGTCTCAGCGAGACCGGTCATTAGACGTTTCTGGGTTCTGGCGAAAATAAAAATTTGAGAATTCAGACTTAAGTATTATCAACCGGAAGCGCTAGAAATCTGAAAATATTTTAGATGAAGAGAACGTAATTGATAATACTTAAGTCTGCATTCTCAAATTTTTTGTTTGGCCAGAACCCCAGAAACGTCTAATGACCGGTCTCGCTGAGACACCTGTATAAAGATCAACTTTTAATATATTTTTTTCCAACTTTTTTTTTAATAACATTATTTTTGTGTTGTTTGAGTACTTACCTGTAATTTTGAGGAGTATTTTTACATCAATAATATTGATAGCCGATATACAGAATTAAAACAAATATGTAAATAAATAAATTGTGAAGGATAGAATCTTCGGTTTCTTATCTGTTTTATTAAATATGTGTTCCTACATATTATTCTAATACCCATGAAATGTTAAATTTTAAACGAAAAGTATAATAAAAATATTGTGTCGTTAATATTAATAACATAATAAAAAATATGGTTTTAAAACTAAAACAATTTTTTTTAATTATAATTTTTTTCTCATTACGAAAAATAAACCAAACATACAAACACTTTCTTAAAGTGCGATAGATTCATTGCTATGCACCTGGCGTGAATCGAGACGACGTCGATCGCCTGGATACCGAGCTCGTCCGAACAGATTCTCGGTCTACAATTGTAGAATCTACATGATGTAGAAACGTCTCTGAATGCGGCCCTTAGATATGCTTTTGTAGCAAAAATAGCATTTAACGTATCAAACGACAACCGATTTCGCAGTTTTGTTTTTACCACATTCATTTTTAACACTCTTTTTATATCTGCGTTTAAATATGGTAATGTTAATAAAGAAAGAGCAAAGGTTGTTACGTTTTGTTTGGTTGACGTTCAAGAATGGCAAACGTTTGTTTTGGAATTTGTTTTGGTTTTTTTTGCAGAGTCATCTAGGAAGAACTTTCCTTTACCACCTTTCCTTCTTATTTTATAAACATTTTTAAGATTTTAAAAGGTAGGTGGGGTTGATTAATTTAGGAATTTAATTGTTCAAATTTTAAAGAATTTTTTTTTTTTGAGGATCAATTGGGAATAAAATAGGAATTCGGTTAACTTAGTTAAAACTTTTTTAAGTAATATCAGAATAAAGAACGAAAATAGAAGGAGATTTTAGGGAAAAGTATAATGTTCCACTTTTTTTGGTAATATGAGTTTTTTTTAAAGTTATAAAACGATAATACGACAAAATTTAACTCTCTTTCGTCATTCAGCGGTATAACGTGTAACATCGTGGAAAAATTAGTCGTCGACATTTTGAAAATTTAAGAAGTTTAGTCGAGATTATTAATCCATAATTTTTGGGAGAATCACGCATGTTATAATATTAAATCATAATTGATCGTTTGTGATTTTGGTAACAGAAGTTTATTCTGGATTTATTTGTACTGCAAAGAAAAAAAATTGTTTGATAGCCTCATCCACGAGGTACGTTAAAATTAATCTTCTTATCCTAATTTTCATTCATTCATTCTTTCATACATTAGATTTCATTCAAAACCTTTCATGCTATTTAAAAAAAAAAAACGTAAAACTATCTTAAACCTATTGAATTTTTTTTCTTAATTAATTTTAATTGGTTAGGCTTTTGGAGGGAGCATTTTAAGAAAAATTTTCTTCATCCACCTCGTGGGGAATAAAATCACCTAAAAATGCCCAAAATAAGTATCCTGAAGGAAGAAGGCGTTATCAGAAATAACCTACCTTAAGTTCTTCCTGGATGGTCATCTGGAGATTCTTTATGGTAATCTTAATTCAGGGAAAAGGTCAGACGTTAAGTTTTGTTATAGAAAGAAACAATTTACTGTTTTGGAAAATTCATTTAAATTAACTTTGTTTCATTTTTTTTTATTATTATTATTAAATTCATTAATCTCTTGATTATGTTCTTTTGTAAAATTTTAATTGGAATTTTTTTTTCTTTTCGATTCATAAAAATTCGTTCTAAATTAAATTTAATTTTATCAGACGAATACGGAAATTTATATATTTTTTTTTGCTTTG